GAGAACATGGAATCAATCAATCAAAATGATGTAATAGAAAATCATTCTGGAGCTGTTACAAATTATGATTATGATATTTTGGGGTGATATAGAACTGGAGATGATATATTATACTGAAGCACATCAGGTGGGGATATTCGAGAGTGGTGGGTGATGTGTGGAATTCAATGATGAAGATGAAGTTTCCTTGCCCTCATCACAATAACATCAAGAACAACAGCGAACATGAAAACAATTTCCCAAACTTGAAGAAGTGGACATATAAATTGGACAAGGAGGAAAGTCAACTAGTTTATGTGAATTGAAATGGTGAAAGATATATTCCTAAATATCAAATGGCAATGACATAATAATGTATCCATTTTGATAAAAATTCACAAACTAACATGTGAATTACTGTGTGAACAATCTATAATCCTCGAATGTGTTTTTTTGTTGTTGTTATGCTGTATTTGCTCATATCTCGTGAAAATGAAGAAAAATCAGTATTTCTTCGTTTGAGTGCACAGTCCTAGATTTAGCGGTTCCATTTCAATCCATGCGAGTGTTGTGTGGACCATTCCGAGCATTCCATATGTTTTGAAACAGTGTAATTGTAATGTGACATCAATGATGAATATCACCATTTTTCACATCAAAATGGCAATTTCTCTGCACAAAAAGTTATGTTTTCCATACTGGATACCTTGTCCGTCAATTATCACTATTTCGCAAAAGGATTTCGAAATAATCAATTCGCAATGGGTACATACGGCAATGTTTTTGTTGTTCATACTCAGTTTGAAATTTGACGTTGATTTGATGTTAAATAGTGCCATCTATTGGTTCGTGATTTTTGCGAATATTCATTGTGTTCTTCATCATTGAATAATAATTATTTTCACTGAATCTTAATTCGAGTAAAATATATACCCATATTATATCAACACAGGAAATCAAGTCCATGCAAAACGTACAAATAATTGTTCATGATATATATCTAATTACCTATACATTCATGAATAAATAGCTTAGGGTTATGCGTATAAGTGAAATCAGATTAACTTCAAAATATACGCCGATTACATGTGGATAAATATGGCGGGGGTTGAGAAAGCAACAAAAAGTTTTGACATACTGTACGTACAGCATACTTATATATACCCGCTGATTTACCGATATAACCAACAGTTGTTCAATCCTCATACAATTACAATGATCCTCCAAGTAAGTGACAAGTGACTTTTTCCATTATTGATACATAAAGAAATAGTTCGCGGGAAAATTATAATAGTTCAGGACGACTCATTGTTTTCGATAAATATCAATTGATGACAAATTAGTTTATGTCCTACGAAAGGGTTCGTTGAAGAGCTACAGGGTGTTGAAGTACATCTTGGCGATGTGATTTTCTCAAGTCTTGGGAAGTATATCTATATGAGAATTTATTCATATTTTATTTCAAAATTCACACATTTGTGTCGGCAACACATGACACATTCCTGTACTTTGTTTCTTCAATTCGTATTATTGGAGATTGCTCGAAATTCAGAGCTCTGCCAGGAACTCACAAGAAAATATGAGTGGAATTCATTATATAAACCTTCACCAATTGACGCCACTGTACTCATCAACAGTAGTTAGAAGAAATAAGACTTGTTTCGAATTGAAAGGATTTCTGACATACCCACTTATAAGTACTTTCAATATATCGAGAAAACTAGACCGTCCTTATACGATACGATATGTGATAATGATAATAATGATGATGATTTATGCATTTATTTACTGGGATACCGAATGGATATGCCTAAATAATAACAAATGCAGTGAATAAATGAATAAAAATACTCAATGAGTAATAACTCACTTGTTTCGATGAGTTGGTTTATATATCATCAAATATAATAATATATTCGAAACAATTTGAATCATCTTAATATTAATCATGATTGAAATCTAAAAATGTTTGTCTTGAACACAAGCATCAGCGATTCACGATGACTTAACTAACTAACTTTGAATTGATAGGAAAGTATAATAATTATAAGAGGCTCACTTGAGATAATCATTTATAATATTTCGATTTTTTTCTCTGATGCATAATTTCAAAGCATTCTTGAAAGAATGTTCAACTACTATATCTCTTATTTCTATAGGGAGGGTGTTGAACAGTTTTTGCCATGTAATTACATGTTGTATCAGCGCTAAACTATATGGATTTATTCATTTTCGGGATGTGTTGGTATTCACATAGAGTATTGTGGTCAAGAATCGGTAAGACGAAGAGGTGGTTTGCACTGTGATAATGAATGTTCAGGTTTAGATAGAATAATTGACGAATATCTAGGACAGAAACTCTAGTATATATCTTATCTGAAGGGTATCGTAGCTCTTCAACGAACTTTTTTGGGAACATGTAGGATATATCATATTTTATTCACATGTCGAGGGATGATAGAGAGTCGCAAAGTGAAAATACCTCAAAAAGTTCACTATAACTTGAATATCAGGCACTATATAGTAAACCTATATCATTCCGTTTCTAATACATATACAGGAGCTTTTTCTTTTCAATTTGGCACAATTCTTTTCTATGGAAACCTGCGTGTACTCACAGTGCAAGCCGAAAAAAAATTCAGGAATTCATAGGTTATACATTTTCCTTCTCTGGAAATAGGTAGATACCACTGGCTTTTTTTGAACGCTAAAATAATCATTGTAAGTATTTTGAAAAAAAAAATGCTCGTGAAATGTTGACATGAAAGCCGTATGTATCAAGAATAAGTTTTTCCATATGATTTCGAAAGGTAGAGAGTAAATCCTTCAATTATTCATCCATTTATTATTTTTCATCTCTCAAAGCGCATGAAAGGAAAACCCTTTTATGTTTAAAGAACATCATTGTGCTTATCTAGGAAGGATAGCCAAAGGAAGTAGGTATTGGATTTCTTTGAACTTCTGTAGATTATGAGTACCTATATTGGATTTTTTTGAACTTCTGAGTATTACTAATCATATTTTTGAAGCTCTTAAGCATGGAGAGAACAGATTTCCTGATGAAAGAACATGAAAAGAAACTCAACATCATCATGTTGAACTCAATATATTACGTCTTTGAAATTGAAAAAAAAAATCATGTTTTGCCGAATATTCATCACTCAACCCATATCTATTTTGCAACTCGATGAATGGATCTCATTAGGAAACCAATATTCCAGATATTCTCCTACATCTTTTGGAGCACACAAAAGTAAACCCCATTTATTTTATTCTTCTCACTCCGAATGGAATGTGGCCTATTATCATTATCTATAATTTCACGCCTGATTTTGAAGCAACTTTTTTGAACTTGTTTTTGGGTGTATGATAAACCGACATTCATCATACAGGGCGTGGAAAGAAATTCTGAATTGAGACTCTATCACGAATCTGCGATTAGAAGTCTATAAAAATCACAAGTTTCCATCGTTCAAGTTTGAACCCCCTGATTGGGTATGAAAGTGTTGAAGGAATATTCTCAGATAAATTATGAACATACAAAAATGGATATATATTTATATAAAGCAATACATTGAGAATTCGCATTCTCTATGTGATGAGAATATTTACTCTTTCTCAGTTGATTCAATAGAAAACAACTACTTTCCTGGCTATATGCCACGACGAACATTGAATTATATCTATTGAACACACACGATAAGAGTTTGAAAATGAAATATAGAAACTTCTGAAATTGAGAATTTGCATTCTCCTCCAGATAAAAATATGTATATGCACACATCATTCTGAATATTCAACAGAAAACAACTACTTCAATGTTCGACGAGGCAAATAGCCAGGAAAGTAGTTGTTTTCTGTTGAATATTCAGAATGATGTGTGCATATACATATTTTTATCTGAAGGAGAATGCGAATTCTCAATTTCAGAAGTTTTTATTGAATCAACTGAGAAAGAGTAAATATTCTCATCACATAGAGAATGCGAATTCTCAATGTATTGCTTTATATAAATATATATTCATTTTTGTATGTTTATAATTTATCTGAGAATATTCCTTTTCAACACCTTTTTGAACTTCCTATCTCTAACACTTTTTGACAAATTTCAAATTTCTATTGGAAATTTCGGTTTTAAGAATAATCGAATTCCAATATTCAATGTCGAGTAGGTACAAAAGTACTTATACTTTCAGAAACTGCGATAACTCAGGAGTCAACTCTCAGATGAGGCCTGTAGGTAATTGATCTGGGTATAGTACATTTATATAACTATAATGTAATTCAATCCTCTGTTGATGTCATCTGTACCAAATGATGAAAATTTCTAGTGCATAAATGAAACATTATGTTTATTCATATAGTTATATTGATTGATATGGTTTCAACATTCACAGAAGTAACCTATATAAAATTTGAATAATGCAATAATAGAAGGTGAAAAATACTATCCTTTTCTGATCTTAGGTTACTAAATAGATGGAATTATCATAAATAGATCATCTTGTATCATTCGATTGATTCCAGTCATTCTCTTCGAATTGGAAATAACAGTGACAAAAAAGCATGTTATCAAGCTGATATACTCTACATGGAATTAGCGAATTGTTTCTGATCATGGTCCAAATCTAAGGCAGCTAAAAAACTCATGTTCTCACTCAAAAAACTCAACAGATGATGGCGAAATATTCTCTCCTAATCAAGATGTATACTGAATATTATGCTCTTTTCACATATATGTACGATGTTCTCTGAGCATTACAGGATATCCCTTTTCGTGGAAACCAGAAGCTTAAAAAGGTATCTGTAACTATGGCAGAAGCATTATACATATGCATTTATTGGCGTAGACATATGCTTGGATTGAAAAGGCCTAAATGAAAAAACTCTTCATACATGGTTTATTGTAGAATCTGGATATATCTATAGCTGTTTGGGAAGCAGACTGATTATTTAGAATTGATATGTGCATTTCGTGCCTAGAACACTAAACTACTTGCCAATATTTGCTCGTTTTTCAGAGTCCTCTGGTGCTTGTCTTAGCATGCCTGGTATTTGCCTCTGCCAGTCCTGGAACAGAAACGAAAGCCGAGGAGGCACAATCGAAGGCCTCCTCAGTAGCAGCTAACAAAAAAGACAAACGTGGACTCATAGATCTTGGTTATGGAGGAGGTCACGAACTAGGAGGACACGGACTTGGACTTGAATCAGGAGGACATGGTTTCGACTTCGGTGGACATGGTTTGGAAATTGGTGGACACGGATTGGAACTTGGAGGATACGGTGGAGGATACGGTGGAGGATACGGTGGAGGATACAGTGGAGGATACGGTGGGGGATACGAAGGACTAGGCCATGACATTGGGCACGTGAAACATGTCACAATCACCAAAGAGATCAAAGTGCCAGTACCTGCACCTTACCCAGTACCAGTGGAGAAGAAGATTCCAGTGCCATACCCTGTCAAGGTAGCAGTACCAGTAGACCGTCCTTACCCAGTCCACATACCCAAACCATACCCAGTGCCGGTGGAGAAACCAGTACCATACCCAGTCATCAAGAAAGTACCATACCCAGTGAAAGTTCCTGTCAAGGTACCATACCCAGTACCTCATCCAGTTCCTGTACTGAAACCAGTACCATATCCAGTTCACAAGTCAGTGCCATATCCAGTTAAAGTACCCGTTTACATCGAGAAGAAAGTGCCAGTTCTTGTCCACTCTCACGGACATGAAGGGTACGGTGGATTGCATGGAGGATTCGGAGGAGGATTTGGTGATTTTGGTGGTCACCACTATTGAATGAATTGTTGATGTTATTTCTGTTGAAATTTGATTGTTATTTATTATCAGTATTCTTGTTGTACTAATTGATCTTCATTTCCTTCAGAACTCTTAGTCGAATTGATCTATGAACTATACTTGTCTACCTGAATAAAAATATATTTTCTGTAATAATTGAGATTCTTTATACTGCAGGTCTATGGTCTACTCACCACCAAAATCAAGTTCACGAAAGATATATCTGTTATTGAAATATCAGTTTGTTGTAGGTATACAATTTTTCAATTTTCCATAATAAATTCCTATTGAATACCTACTACACAAATGGCAAAATGCTGTTCAATCATTATGTGCGATTTTATTCACGCCATTGGAGTCGAGAGATCTCAATTATTAATTCATTAAAATTCAATAATATTGAGAAACTGTGATTATTATTCAATTATTGTAGAAACTCATTAATCTTACCAACCGAATTCACAAACTATGGATCTAATTGAGAGATTAATTATCAAATTATTAACATTTTAAATTGCCACCAAATTTTATTAATAACTCGTATGGTTTGCGTAATGTATAATCGGAGCTTGTTTCCGTTTTTTCTCAAATACAAATTGTGTAAAATATGTAGGTCGGAATATACAGGTTTATCAAGTTTTGATGCTCAACTGATAATGCATATTAAGGAATTGATAAAGAACCTGAATGATACTCTCTTCCTCTCCCAACGTGAGTTTCTCAACAATATTCGAGATAATTATTCTGCTTCTTTACTTTTCACAAAATCTCGTTGCCGAGCTACACCACGAGCACAATTTATTCAACAATAGGATATTAAAGAATAATCATGAGAAGATATACAGGGTGATATTTTCTTGTTGATGATGATGATGAATATGTATGTTCCTGAAACATGTTGCTCTGACCCAAAATCTGGAAAAATATACGAATTTCGATTGAAAATAATTGAAATTTTGGTTCTCAATTGGAATTTTCCATGGTATCATAAGACATTCATCTGATATTAGTTATGCTAAGAATAGTACTTTATATAACTACAACATAAATTTTTCGACCTGAAATCTTCATTTTCTGTTGTCAATGAGTCGTTAGAATAAGGACAAATGAGTGACATTTCAAATGATACCTAATCAAATTCAAAGGCATCCAGAGTGCTAGGAAGATAGTAAGATTTCGATTGATATCATGACCTTCTGACTAGTAACAGTGTGCGCTATTTATATGTCGAGGGAGTAAGGGGAATCAAAAAATCAAAAATATCTAAATTTGCCAATGAACAACTAACACCCTATATGAGATTTTGAAATTTTGTATGGATGTATTTCAGCTATGCCTGAATCGAATATGCCAGTCACAGTTCGAAAGAAACTGTCTTATAGTCGTTTTTGAAATTGTGACTGTTCAAGAAACAGATGTAGGCTTCGTTAATCTGAATATTTCAAATTTGTTCACATTTCCGAATGGAGCTCGTTGAGTACTATATCATATCTGCAGAAAATTACTTCACATCCCAAAAGCTTCTTTTGATCCACAAAGCACGATATGACCTGTTATAAAATACTGTTCCCAGATATGGAGTTCAGCACATGGTGAACACCGTAGAAGCCAGAAACCTTTCACTTTTCTATATAGATACTTCCATAAGAAATTTTCTTCAGGAATCTTTGTTATCATTCCATCACTAACAACACCAGTCAGTCGAGCTTGACAATCCCAGTCAGCACATCATTGCGTTGTCATCCTTAAAATATGTCAAACAACACTTTTCCAACATCCGTTTGTCTACAAAACGGCAAAGCTCTGGAGTTCTCCGCCAATGTAAGTATTACTAAGAATTTTTAATTTCCACAAGTTCAAATGAAATTCCAATACCTGCCTCCTCTCCCTATCCTCCCTAGGCACGATATTCTTCAAACATTTCAAGGATTTAGCATCAAACAATCTTGTACATTAGATCAGTCATTCCTTAGATCATAAGGAAATTACACAGGCAGCATTCTAGGACATAGAAGGAGTGTTCAATGATGCCCTATCACAATAACTCCATATGACAATGGGAGATAGAGCAATCGGCAGTCGAATATGCAACTGGATCAAAACCATGATTGGAGATCGGTACTCCATATCATTATTGCTTGGAGAGTCTATCAGTTTTAAAGCGGCAAAAGGTTGTCCACAGGGTGAATACTGTCCCCCCTCATGTGGTCATTCCTGCTGAATTATTTTTCAATATACGGGGTGGATTTTTAATCCCATGCAGATGATTTGGTCCTGATAGTAAGAAATTTTGAAGCGACGATCTCAAACCGTCTACAAGAAGCCCTCAAAACTGTGTACAGATGGTGCGAGAGGGAGCAGATGTCTGTGAACCCCCGGAAAACTGTAATTATCCTTTTTACCAAAATGCTACAGCTAAATAAGCTTCGTCAGTATGTCCTATATGGGGGGAGCATTTCGTTTGCGGCAAAGATGTAAGGTGTCATCCTAGATAAAATACTCAGCTGGAACGCCCACATTGCAAAAACTATCAACAAAGTCAGATTTTACCTCTGGAATCTCAGAAGTGTATGAGACAAATCATGAGGAATGATTTACTGGTTCTATCAGAAAATGGTGAAACCAATCGTCAATTATGAGTTGGTAGTCTGGTGGACTGAAGATCTGCAAGGGACAGCCAGGGCAAAGCTCGCTAGTATCCAGCGACTGGCATACCTGACCATTACAGTTGCGATGTCCTCCACTTCAACGGCAGCGATGGAAAACCTCCTGAACTCACTCCCCTCTACGTTGTCCTGGAGAGGGAAGTCAGGATTGATAGATCAAATTTGAGAGGGGCGATTGCTAGGCCACTCCGAGATACTGTGTGAAAAAAATCTACAAACGCCAGGAATGATTCCCGAAATGTTGGCCACTCTGCCACACGTGAAGAAGTCTTTCAAAGTTCTCTTTGCTTGAAGATATGAGTGAATAAGAGGATCAATTCATTTTCCAAAGACCAAACACGTAGTGTACATAAATGATACAAAAACTTGGAGTTGGAGCCGGTGTGTTCAGCAGAAAACCGAAGACGGAAATATCAGTCAATCTCGGTAAGTATGCTACAATGGGATTATATCACGAAAAAATTTCATTCCATAATTCGATAGAACTCACCCAAACTAGCTCACCACAGCAAACCGTTTCTTGCTGTGAGATCCCCACGTTTTATAAAAAATTATTGAAATCCCCGATTTTTTGGACCTCTGAAAACGAGGCGATGATGTTACGTCAAAACCCTCATACTGAAACAAGACTATTTCAGACAGAGATGGATGGTACATGATCTCTGACAGAGTGAATTAGCGCGAGATCACAGTTGAAAGAATTAATATATCAGTTGCCTCAGTCTCCGTCGGGCGTTTGGTATTTTCTTTTAATTATGGCGAGATGAGGTTTCTACGTCATGAGAGGGTCCGTTTTCAGAAGGTACTATTATTTATGTCAAAAAATAAAACATTCCAGTTAATTTTTTGATCGAAATATGTCGTCAATCATTATTTATGTTTAATAGGATCATTATAAACATGGTTTGAGTTGAAAGTTCTACGGTGGTGTACACGCCCATTTTCCAGGAGGAGGTCTTCGTAATTGAATTGTAAGAAATGACAAATAGACTTCTAGTAAACAAGAGCATTAGTATTGTGTCAGAGAGTCAGGCTGTTCTCAAAGCACTGAGCTCCAGTTAGATATATTTCAAGCCTGTATAAAACTGTATACAATCCCTAGAGTGCCTGGGTGCTGACAACAGAGTTCCTTTGCTGTGGATGCCTGAATATCAGAGGGTGGAGATCAACAAGAAAGCCGACATCCTCGCCAAACAGGGAACAGAATCTGTGTTCATAGGACCAGATCCATACTTTGGGGTCTCCGCAAGTGCAGCCAAAACAACCATCTTGTACTGGCGGAGGGGAAAGGACTCATGACTGGTCCGAATTACCATCAGGATCAACTCATCCGAAGGCATTGCTGCCTGGACCATATCGAAAAGAGAAACCAGGGAGATCCTAGAATGGAGGAGGGGTAATCTTCGAATTCTCACAGGACTGCTTACAGGACACTGTTGTCTAAGACACCACCAAGGAAGGATGAAACTGAACCAACAAGCGGACTGTCAGTTCTGCTACCTAGCCCAACCGTTTCGTGCATTCCAAAAGCTGAAAATTCCAAAAAGTGCTCTTATTTGTTAGGTGTTCGAAGGTTCTATTTGACCGGGATAAATAACCTCTTTGGTATTGCATTTTCACTTCATGTGGTTCATGAAGCTTATCAGTCAATTGAGAATCAATTTTCTTCAGTTGAATTCACTATAAAAATTACAGTGAATAACAACCTCAGGGGCTCACGACTTGTGAGTACGTGAATGGCAATCCCGAGGTACCCTAGCCAGATTCTCATTAATCTTGCAACGAAAAATCTCACAGTTGTGGATGTTTGTTTCTTTTCGATGATACTTTTCATTTACTTCGTATACTTTGTTCGTTGATTGGTTGGATAGTTTACATTCGACAGGTAAGTATAAGATATGATCGCTCTGCTTGTCACATGGTTGTCGCTTTTAATACATTGCTGCCCATTGCACTTGAGACTTGTTAATTTCAATCATTTCACGGCCTAATGGTATAGGTAACACCAAGTGAAACTATCGATCAAACTTCCACAGCTGACTTGCATCCGTATGTATGTGAATATTTGATTGATGAGGTTTAATTGAAAAACTTTCAATGGAAATTTCATGGTTTCTCGTGAAAGTTGGAAACTTGGCAACACCGTCATCACCACGAGTCTGCGTTTTGAATAAAAATAATTGAAGCACAACAATAAATGCGAGTTCGCTCTCTTCTTAGCTTGGCGCGTTTTTTTCTGCGAAATCACGTGATTTGAGTTTATAATTTCACAGTTCCACTTTGAGACCCCATCGAACTTTGTTTTTCATATGTGTGATTGTCACCTTTGGCAATTTAAGGACACATAGGCCCTTATGAAATTAATAATCGCACCCTTAATTTTATTATACCTAATCATGGTGCATACGTCTTTGTCTTGTGCCATTTTATTGTCTAAATTATCAAAAGTTCAACTTTTT